TGTACAATAGTTGGGGTTTCATTTGACTATGATAGGAAAAGTGTTTTACGAATGTGGAGATAGGTCGATTTTCCTATACACTGTAAAAAAAGGGAATGCCTATATGAATTCCGGAAGGATATTCAAGGAATGTCCATATGAATCCAACAATGGATTTCTAGCTTTTTGAAAATAAGCAAATGATATTCTAGCTTCGATTTAACATAGGAAACAAAACCGAAATTCTTAGAATTAGAAAATCCAGCGTTTTCAAAATATTCGAAATTCGATGAATAAATCATAAGACTTATAAAATCCTTTAGCTTACTCAATATCGATTTTCTTCAAAATAGAATTAAAAAAAAAATTACAGTGTAGGAAGCCATAGGGAAAAATGAGTATTTTTGCAATAACTCAGGAATGGCTTGGCCAATTCTTCTCATCTTCGAACTCGACCGAGATATTGTTGAGACTAAACTGTGTAGAAAATTTCATTGCAATCGGACTCTCCTTTCAAAAGTTTTCGTGTAAACAGACGGACACACTGATCGATTCTAGAGTGTACTCCCTTTTTGAGTACACAAAAAGATATATTGAAATAAATAGCATAAATGAATTCGACGTGAGCAGATTCTTTAAGTAATCAACTCATTGATATTTTGCTTTACTTCAAAAGAAAATCATGAATCAATATTATAATCAACGCTTTTTTTTTCTTGACCACGATAGCTTTTTTTTCTCGAATACCATACTGTTAAGTAGAATAGTTTTAAAAAATTAATTTCTAAGACATGATTTATGTGTATGTATAATAATATTTAGTTTTTAAGCGCCTAATAATATTTTCATTTGAAATTAATATCTAATAACCCGTATAATCATATATTAATAATAAATACATCATGGACTCTGTTCAAAATTTAATCAAGAACCTTTTTCCACATAATACTATAAGTTATCATATAAATGACTTAACTAATGAACCATCTGATCGAAATAATATAACAAATGATATTTGTATAAGTATAGAAAAAGAAAATAAATCTCGACAATTTTGTCGTCTTACCATTGAACAACTAATAACACTATTTGAACATTGTCCTGTATCCGATCGAACTTTATATGAAGTTATTTCTCTGTGGAAGGTTGTCAAAACATATATTGATTATGAGTACTTCATCGACAAAAATCTTGATATAGAAAATCATTACATTGGTCCTATATCTTGTCTTAAAATACTTTACTATTTTCTAAATATTCCAAATGACACTATTGATACAATCGAAATCTATACACAAAAGATTTTAAAACAATTTCTAGTTTTACAAGCGTAAGTGATCATATTTTTTTTAACATGTCATACAATTTTTTTATTACTCTCTCTCTCTTTCCAAAATAGAATTATTTTGATTAAATTTCATGTATATTGATTTTTCTCAATTAATCGATTATATCTTTGTTTTTTTTTGTTATAAGATCAACAAACGAAAAGATATCGTATCATTTTATACATTCGAAACCATCACTTGTATTTGAAAATGTATCAACTCTTGGTATTTTTCTGAAAGCTATTATTCATTTTCTCCTATTCTCAATTATTCAACATAAATGTACAATGTTTAATATCAATTCACCACCAGAACCCTGTACGATATCAAATTTAATTCAAATCTTAGCTCCATATGTCAGTATACTACGAAAACATTGTACTTCATGTACAATATCGATTCCTTATGTTTCAATTGCTGATATTTCATATTTGCTTGTACGAAGTGCAGCAGATAAATGGACTACAGCGATTGATATAAATGTTTATTCAAAAAACCAACAATTTCATTTATTTAATAGTGTAAAATACGGAAAAAACAATTCCCTTATTCCCTCAATTACATTTCCTTTTGCTTCTTCGTTACAATATTCATCCAGTGATATTCTTAAATAAATGCGGAAACTTCGGATTTAAATCCGAGAGTTATGTGTACTTCAAAAAGTGAATCATACAAATCAATCATCCTAGACTGTCTGAATATCAAAATTATACTGTGAAATCTACCATTTAAAATGTTGATTTCTATTGCGCGTTGCCAAACCAATAGGACATGGGACCGAATACAGCTCAAGTTTGAACTCTTTCCCTTGATTTACCCTAAGAAAGTCGTTTTTCCTATAACTTCATTTCTATTGGTCACTGCACAACTAATAGTATTTCGATGGAAGTGCAGTACACATTCGAGTTCTCCATATCTGAAAACCTCGAAGTATCATCAGTGTGACCGGAAGATAAAGCTCTATTTGTGGATCAATTAGATCGTACACCAAAATATAACCTAGTTCTCTTTAATTATCCTTGTCATTGGTAAGTCAACCTTCTTGTTTCTTTATGTTTTATATATCATTTTGTAGTTCTTGAAATTCTCTATCGAATGGTATATAATAGTTGGGGTTTTAATTGACTATGATAGGAAAAGTCTTACGAAAGTCGCGATGGGTCCTTTTTTCCACAGAAAGCTATAGGGAAAAATGGATATTTTTGCAATAACTCAGGAACGGCTCGGCCGGTTCTTCTCATCTTCGAACTCGACCGAGATATTGCCAAGACTAAGGCGTGTAGAAAGTTTCATCGCAATCTGACCCTGCTGTCAAAAGTTATCATGTAAACAGCCAACCAGACGGACGGACACACTGACTATTCTATAGTGGACTCACTTTTTGAGTACACAAAACTATGATTCGGTTCAAAACTAATATCAGATTCAGAATCAGCGTTAAAAACTGAGTCGATTTATGTATTTTGTGAATAATTATGAGCAAAAAATTTTTTTTCGAAAAATCCCCGTACCCCCCCCCCTCAGGGATGGTCTGGTCAAAAATCACAATTTTTTCGATAACTCAGC